ATGACTGGATAAATAAAATGTGGTATATAGGCCAGGCACGGTGGCTCAGCCTATAATCCCAGCACTTTGGGAGGCCGAGGCAAGAGAATTGCCTGAGCCTGCGGGTTCAAGACCAGCCTGGGCAACTTGGTGAGACCTGGTCTCTACAGTAAATCCCCAAAACTAGCTGTACGTGGTGGTGTGTGCCTGTAGTTCCAGCTACTTGAAAGGCTGAGGCGGAAGGTTCACCTAAATCCAGCAGGTGGAGGCTGCGGTGGCTATGAGCGTGCCGCTGTACTCCAGCCTGGGTGACAAGAGTGAGACTCCAACTCAAAAAAAAAAAATGCACCATGGAATAGTATGTACATGGAATAGTATGTACATGGAATAGTATGTACATGGAATAGTACATACTATTCCATGCACCATGGAATAGTATGTAGCCATAAAAAGAATGAAATCATGTCTTCTGCAGCAACATGAATGGAACTGGAGACCATTCTCCTAAGTGAAGTAACGTAGAAACAGAAAGTCAAAGATCACATGCTCTTATAATTGGGAGCTAAACAAAGGGTACACATGGATATAAACATGGAAATAAGACACCAGAGATTCTAAAAGATGCAAGGGTGAAAAAACTACCTACTGGGTACCATGTTTATTATTTGGGTTATGGGTTCACCAGAAGCCCAAACCGCAGCATCACACAACATACCTACGTAACATGCCTACACATTAAAAAAAAATTGTTTGTTGATCAGATTGGAAACAAGAGAAGGGAATATACAGTGCTTTTGAGGGTGTGAGGAAAATTGGCCCCTTTAATGCTTATTGGTGGGAATGTACTTTTTTTTTTTTTTTTTGAGTTGGAGTCTCACTCGGTCGCCCAGACTGGAGTGCACTGGCCGGTCCTGGCCACCGCAGCCTCGACCTGCTGGGCTCTGGCGATCCTTCCGCCTCAGCCTTCCGAGTAGCCGGAATTACAGGCGCGCACTAACATGCCCAGCTGATTTTTTGATTTATTGTGGAGATGAGGTCTTGCCAAGTTGCCCAGGTGGGTCTTGAACCCGTGGGCTCAGGCAATCCACTCACCTCAGCCTCCCAAAGGCGCGGGATTACAGGCTGAGCCACCGAGCCCGGCTGGAATGTACATTTTTGGAGAGCAATTTAACATGACATAGCCAACAAAATAAGCATGACTTGTAACCTGAAATGTTTACCTCTAGCTATCTAGTCTACTTAGAAATATACCCTGCAGTACTACCTGTAATGGCAAGAACGATTAACAATTTAAATGTTCGTAATTGGGTAATGCTTAAAGCAGTTCTCATAGATTTGTACCATGTGTCTCTTAAAAATAATAGTCCAAACGTATACTTGTTGATGCAGAAAATTGGCAAGACAGTTAATGAAAAATCAAATCAAATTTCAGAATATAACCCCATCACGTCCCACTGTGTGTGCACAAGGGCACAAGTTTTCATTGCAAAGAGAAGTGTCCTAAAGGACACTTTTCGTAGTGTTGTTAGTAGGTGGGGGATGGAAATGTGGCAGCAGGGGCGGAGCCAAAGGGCTCAAGGTGAAGCTCTTTTTTACTTTGAGTCGGACTCTCACTCTGTCCCCAGCTGCTGGAGTGCCACCGCAGCCTCTACCTGCTGGGCTCCGGAGATCCTTCCACCTCAGCCTTCCAAGTAGCTGGAACTACAGGCCCACGCTACCACGCCCGGCTAATTTTTGATTTATTGTAGAGACGAGGGCTTGCCAAGTTGCCCAGGCTGGTCTCAAATCGGCAGGCTCAGGCAATCCACTCGCCTCAGCCTCTCAGTGCTGGGATGACAGGCTGAGCCACCTAGCCCGACCTAATTTTTTGATTTGTTGTAGAAATAAGGCCTCACCAAGTTGCCCAGGTTGGTCTCGAACCTCTGGGCTCAGGCAATCGTCTTGCTTCCACCTTCCAAAGTGCTAAGGTTACAGCTGTGAGCCATCGCGTCTGGCTGAAACTCACTTTTTGAGTCGTTCACTTGTATTTAAATTGTTAAAATATGTATTTATTTTTATTAAAAATTATTTCAAAATTGTGCAATTTTACATGAACAAAAGACCTGGTTGGATTAGAATAGGGACTGCTGGTGTCTTCTTTTTTTCCTAAGCAGCTCCATGAGCTTCACTTTTTATCCATTTTAGAATTAAAAATGTATTTGAGGGGGCCCCAAAAAACCCAGAATTTATTTATAAAAAAATGTGTATTTATTCTCATGTGTAAACTTTAGTCCCCTTGAAAGTACTCTGATACAATACACGTATCGAAACGAGATGCTTTTTCCACTGCTCAAAACAGTGTTTGAACTTGTCAATTTTGCTGGCTTTTAGTGCTTTTGCTGGTTTTTGTTTAATCTCTTCCACACTGGCAAAACGTCTCCTTTTGAGGACTTTTTTTTTCATCTGGGGAAACAAGCAAACAAACAAAAATAGTTGCTTGGGGTGAGATGGAATGAGTAGGGAGGGTGGGGCACGGGAGTCACGCCATTTGTGGGCAGGTGTGTTGTCAAGGGAGAAAAACCAGTCATCTGTTTGCCACAACTCAGGATGTTTCTTCCACAGCTCATGACGCAATCTTCTCAAAACTTCCAGATACAAACTTTGGTTGACTGATCTGGAGGCGGAACAAATTCTGGGCGTACCGCAAGGATTCCACCCTCCAAAAGTTAATTCCGGTTTCTTTTTGGCCCTCCCTTGTATTTAGCTTCTTAGTAAGATTTTATTTGAACAAGAGTCACAAAATAAATGGACTAGGACATCTCTAAAGTCCTTTTGAAACACTAACAGTCTGTAAGAGTCTGTAAGTTCGTTTTTATCCCTGTGTAATTATTGGGCAGGAGTATTAGTCTTGGACAGGCTTTCGGTTCTATTCATATAAGGTCATGTATATTCAGGAAGACAATTAGTTTTAATATTAATATGATGCAAATAAAATGTATTGTGAAAAGTATATGCACAAAAACTTGTGACAAAAAACTCAAAAATAATTGGTGACTTTAGTAGTCAGGTTTTACCCTGTCACCTCAAGTCAAGCCATTCTCTAGTTCTCAGGGCTGTGTTTAGAACTACTTATGACCAATGCTGGCAGGATTTCAAAAACATCGACAAGCTTATGATATATATGGGGGGGGGACACAAAAAAACCGGAATTATCTTTTAGAGGCTGGGACCCTTGTAGTACAGGCTTTTCCCACTAAGCAAGTGTTCCAGGGAGCCATTGGCATCAGTGTACCAGCTAGCGTTATTTTGAGAGGCTGCATTTGGTTTCAGTTCATTTCTTTTTGGAGAGTCTTTCAACGTGTTTGCACATTTCATGATGAGTCATTTACACAAACAACCTGCCCACAGGGTGCTGTTCATCAGTTCTTGGAAAAAAAAAACGGCTTGACTTCTGTGCCTCACCCTCCCTATTTACTCGATCTCATCCCAAGGGGCTTTTTGTTTCCTCAGACGAAAAAGTCCTCAAAGGGAAACGTGTTGCCGATATGGAAAAAGTCAAACAAACCGGCAGAAGCACTAAAAAGCATCAACATTGATGAATTCAAAAACTGTTTTGAGCGGTGGAAAAAGGGTCTTAATAGGTGTATTGCACCAAATGACGAGTACTCTGAAGGCGACTGAAATTTAAACATGTAAGAATACATAATTTTTTATAAATAAATTCCAGGTTTTTCTTTTTGGTCCCTCCTCATACATTAATGCTATACAAAAAGTGTTGAAACCAAGAACATTTGATAGACTTTGATGTTGCAAATAAAAAAGTACTTCACCCTAAATGACCAGCTCAACTGCTATTGTATTGCAGGTCAATCTGGCTTAAATTGTCAAGTTTCAAGAGACTAAAGTTAGCATACTCCAACAAAATACAATAGATATTTTTCTGCTCTAATTTTCCAATTCTTATTGGAAATTCCCCCAACTTATATCAATTTCCCCAATCCTATCCCAGCCAAAATCATGTTTTGTTTAATGTTTAAACATGCACACATTGACATATACAGGACCCAGATCCAATCCGCAATAGCCAGAGTTGTATGTCACTGTCTTTTACCTACTATAAAAATGACTGACTATACTTTTTAGATGAATAAGTAACACACATTCCTTCTCTTTTTATTGCCATTTAATAGAAAAAGAATACAAATTCCTACAGTGCAAAATATAATTTATATGGATTTTGCAATGGAAATTTTATAAACACTAACTTTATAAAAGGCTGTTAAAAGGTAAATTCCAGATGAAGCAAAGACATGAAAACAGGAAGGTCCTACAAAAAAGCTTATGTATTATATTCTAAGAGTGAAAAAGATATATATTTTGAGTTGGAGGCTCACTCTGTCGCCCAGGCTCACAGCCATGGACCTGCTGGGCTCAGGCGATTCTTCCAAGTAGCTGGAACTACAGGAGTGTGCCACTACACCTGGCTAATTTTTTGATTTATTGTAGAGATGGGGTCTCACCAAGTTGCCCAGGATGGTTTTGAACCCCTGGGCTCAGGCAGTCCTTCCGCCTCAGCTTCCCAAAGTGCTGGGATTACAGGCACGAGCCACTGCACCCGGCCAAAAAAGATATTTCAAAAGGACATAAACCCAGAGGCAACAAAGAAAAAAGACTGGTAAGCCTGACTACATAAGATTTAAAAATGTATGCACGGCAAAAACAAAAATATTCCAAAACAAAATGGATGGTCAACAAACTGGAAAAACATTTGTAAATCTATGAAGACAAAGTGCTCTTTAATTTACAAATAACTCAAATACATGAATAAGGAAAAGACAATCCATAATAACATTTTAAAAAGTAGGGGGAAAACTATTTTAAAAAGGACAAAATGTGTGAAAACACACTCAAAGATCATTCATAACTAAGGAAACACATACACATAATAAGATGATATTTTTCTCATGATATAGCAACAATTAAAATGTGTGACGATGCCCCGAGTAGGGGAGGGTAGAGGAAAGTACACAGTCTAATCACTCTGGATGAGAATATAGGTGGGCCCAACTTTATTGAGGCAATATGAGCCCATCTATACAAATTTAAAATGTACAAACCTCAGCAGTCTGACAGCTAGAAATCTGTATTTGTTCAACAACATATACTATTAATACACTTAAGGACAGCACAAAATGGTGACTGCAAAACACTGAAAACAGCCTGTGTCCATCCACAGGGAAGTGGTTAATTATGGCATATCCAGGAGATGCAATACAAAATGGCCACGAAAAAGAATGAGGCAGATCTACATGTATATGCTGATATGGAAAGGTCTTCCAAGTATTCTAGTAAAAAAAGACATGCTTTTATAAAAAGAAACAATATTTTTTTAAAAGTAGAGGTATTAAACAGTGCATTGATGAGAAACAAAGTGCATTAGTGTATACTGCAATTTCTGTCTTCCAAAGGAATCATAAAACAATGTCAGCTGTGGTTACTTTTAGCTAGATGAATAAAGGGTGGGGAAGGAGGTGGGAGACTACTTTCATTTTGAACCATTCTGTACTGTTTACATTTCTAGCCTTAAATGTATAACATTATTTATTTTGGTAGGGATGGATAAATATAACTCATTGTTTTCTTCAAATCTCTCTATATTAAAAAAACACAATAATTTTTATATACACACATAAAGATGTTAAATCAAAACACACATAATTTTAAAAATACACGCACATACATGTATACACTTTGAAATTAACACATGGGAAAGTTACCCTTTCCATGTCAGTCACTTACTATCTTAACATACAATGTACCTATATTATCCAAAGATCTCAAAGCACTTCATTAGTATTCATTCAACTCCTGTAAGTTTCCTTTTCACACGGTGATAAAAGACTATGGGTACAAAACATCAGTGAATAGAAAGATATTCCAAGTGTCTCCTCTGAATAATGTTCTGACCACCGTATGCCCACTGTATGATTTTTTGTCCTTGCCCTGTTTCATGGTTAGGTTTCAGAGGCTGGTCTTCGAATCAGGTCACCAAAATAAGCAGTGATTGTCTTCAATTTATTATTAAGAAAGTTCTGTTCTATTTCCACTTGCCCACCAGGCCCTGCTAAGGATACCACCTAAAAGAGGAACAGAAGAAAGTCACACAGACATAAGCATAATTCCAAAACCGTTCATATTGCTTTATCAAATAATATGAAGACTCTTGGCTTTTATTTAAACACTTCGAATTAACGAGGCACCTTAAATATTCACTACTACTTTCTAGGCAGGAATTAATGCAATATTTGGTGAGAAGAATACTTGTTGTTCAGATCCTTTGAAACTGCAGGCAAGATCATGGACCTGTGCTGTTGTTATGTGACTTGATCTCTCCAATGCCACAGCTAACTCACTCAGAGGAAGAGAAATGAATAAAACCTCCCAAATATCAGATTTATTAATACAGACATGTAAGGAATCACCCCTTTCCTGAAAGCCTTTGTCCAGTTCACCTTATGGTCTGCACCTCACCCTCTCACAACGTTTGCCTCGTAACCGCTACAATGCTAGGGACACATCAGAGAGGAAGACGGCTTTGACTCAGGAGCTCGATGCGGAGCCTAGGCCGTACTCACAACTTTTCCTTTTCTAGTCGGTCTCCTCTGCTGTTCTTCCAGCTGGGACCACCTCTTCCACCTGTTGCTCTTCTGTGTATTTTAAATCCCTTTCACAACAGTTGTAGTAAAACTCATTGCTGTTTTTGTTTGACGTCTACTAGAATATAGTGACCAATTCCTTTATAAGGAAGCTAAAACCACTGTCCTCTCCTCACTTCCACAGTTAATATCAAAAGGATGGCGATCAAATGACTGGCTAATAGGGGCAGTTAGCTGCTAAGGATTCCTTTGCTTCATGACAATAAAGCTTGAAGTTGCCTTTGTCACACTGCAAACTATCAATGTTCTACCCATTCTTAAACACATAAGGTTTGTTTTGGCTCAGCATTCTTGTTTCATCCAGCCACTCAGGGATCTATTAACTCTTACCTTCAAACCCATGATTATATCCCCAGACATCAGTTTATCAGGGTAGCAATGAGAAAGATGAAGAGAAAGGGGCATACAGTGAAGAGCCCCACCAGACAGAGAACAGAAGATACTGAGTGACAGAGAAAGGGATACCCAAAGTATTAGGGAGAGGTGCAAACGACAACAGCATGCATTTTCTGTAGCTGTCATCAGCAAAACTGTAGTTGTGTATTTTGTGAAGAGAGGTGCTCAGTCAGTTTGGTTTTGAGGGTTACGAGGATCTAATCTCAGTGGTCTATATATCACACCAGTGTCTGGGAGAAAGGGAAGATTTACTGTGTATTTCCAGTCAGCATGTGTTTTAAAGTATTTCACCTTCCTCTTAGGGAAGAAAGTCACAGATACTGAATTAGGGAAGAAACAACAGGTTATTCTACAGTACATTCTTAAAAGAAAAAAAAATTGTTATACCTAGGTGGTAGCAACATCAATTCTCATCCCATCCTACAGGGACATAGAAGATGACTGTGTTCTTATTGATAACAATAGATTTGAATAAAAGTCAAATACAAGCCGGGCTCAGTGGCTCAGCCTGTCATCCCGCGCCTTTGGGAGGCTGAGGTGAGTGGATTGCCTGAGCCTGCGGATTCGAGACCCGCCTGGGCAACTTGGCGAGACCTTATCTCTACAATCAATCAAAAATTAGCGAGGCGTGGTAGCTCGCACCTGTAGTTCCAGCTACTTGGAAGGCTGAGGCGGAAGGATCGCCAGAGCCCAGCAGGTCGAGGCCGTGGTGGCTGGGAGCGTGCCACTGCCCTCCAGCCTGGGCGACAGAGTGAGACTCCAACTCAAAAAAAAAAGTCAAATACAGTATCCCTTTATAATAATTAAAAACTCATCCACAGCCCCTACTATATGTTCATAAGGAATACTTAAAGTGAAACTAGAATCTTAAAAATAGCAAAGTAGTCTCAGAATGGCAATTATTAGAAATCATTTTAACTAGGATCATAAAAACTAAAAAAAAAAATCATTTTTTAATATTCTATTTTGATATCCTTATGTCAGTCTGATTTTTGACAAGAAAGGGCAAAATGAGTAACTCTGTCTTTAGCCAGTACATCTAAAATATCATTTTCACAACAATTTCTCAATAAGTTAAGATAACTGAAGTGTCTTTCATTTTTCCTGTTCATTTTAATGAATAATCTATTTAGAGAATGTAAGATTGGCAAGCTAAGTTTTTTGGGGGGGGTGGAGAGTGGGAGGTGGGGTTGGGAAGTGAGAGGTGAGGAGAAAGGAAAAGAGGAAAGATCAGGCTGGGTTGAAAGAACAAAACAGAGCTGAAACAACAGCAAAAATAATATGCTAGGGTAGGTCTAGCAGGAAAAACAAAGTGAAGTCAGAGGCAAATTTTAATCCCAGTTCTATCAAAACATTTGCTGCATCAATTTAGAAACCCATTAAAATAGGCTTTTGTTTTCTAGATCTGAAAAATAGGACTACTATCTATCTCCTTAAAAGGTCATTTTAAAGATAGAAATAATAACTTCTGAAATTTACTTGAAAAAAACAATTAAAGGTACTATAAAAACAGATTTATCATTTTTTATAAAGCTATAAATATAATTACATAAATATAGTGATTACGTAAAAATCAATTTCTCAGGAGTCAGTGTATTTTTTTTCTCTCTTAACACATTTTGGAGGATTGCCTAGATATGGGTGCTTTGGATAAGTGAAGACAGGAATTTTCTCAGAAAATATGATAGTATTCTGAGGTCTGGGCAAAAGAGTTCATAAATTACAACTACTTACTGAGAATTTATAGGTTTCTGTTCTAGGCACTGGAGTGTAGTAAAAGACAATAAAAAAATCTGCTTTCATGAATTTTATTGTAGCTAAGAGAATCAGATGATAGAAAAAAAGTATTATTCCTGATACTGGAGAAAAAGGGTAAATCTATGTGATAAAATATAATAAAAAAACTTATCTCTTTAGTGTTTAGAAATAAATTTTAAAAACCTTAATGCTACTTTCAAGTGTTCTGATTAATAGTGATTTCTATTCTTAGTCTTTTTGTATTTTGCCACATTTTCACTATACAAATATTGTAAAGGGAAGAATTTTGGAGTTGGAAAGACTATACATTTATGTAATTCAAGCAAATAAATACTTTGTTTCAAGCAAACTTACTGTCATCAATTTTTAGCTGTCCTTGTTTTTCACTAGCAGGTTTAACTGACAAAATGCTGTTTGGTTCCTTCCCCTTTCTTAGTGAACAGTTTAATAAGATGAGAGGGGAGGGAGAGAGAGAAAAAGAAAGGAAAGAGAGGCAAAGAGGGAGAATAGATAAAGAGCAACAACTCTGGATTATATTCTATGTTTTTGGCATATTACCTATATATATCAGATTTACCAAAAGAAATCCCAATTAGTTGGAACTGGAACTTGAGCTAAGGACTGAACTCTCAACTCAATTTTACATCGTGCATTAGAAACTTGCTCTTTGGGGACCGGAAAAGGAGAAACAAGAAAAAGATCACAACGAAGGTGATAACTTCAGTAAAAGTTAAGGCACAGGAAATCTAACAGCCAAACGTTCAAACCTGCATTAAAAAATTTAAAGTCAGTCGGGCTCGGTGGCTCAGCCTGTAATCCCGCGCCTTTGGGAGGCTGAGGTGAGTGGACTGCCTGAGCCCGTGGGTTCGAGACCCGCCTCAGCAACTTGGCGAGACCGCATCTCTACAATAAATCAAAAAATCAGCTGGGCATGGTAGCGTGTGCATGTAATTCCGGCTACTCGGAAGGCTGAGGTAGAAGGATCGCCAGAGCCCAGCAGGGCGAGGCTGCGGTGGCCGCTCCCCGCTGCACTCCAGTCTGGGCGACAAAGTGAGACTCCCACTCAAAAAAAAAAAAAAGTAAAAATGTGTGATAACCAAATGACAGAAAACAATTTTCAAACTGGATTCTAATGTAAGACTATACAGTAAATACTAATGACAGGTACATTTTATTATAAGAAAGATGCAGAAAAATTAGAGCACTGAAAAATATACTATTTACTACATTAGAGAAGAGATTATATCTGCAACATACAAAATTTTGGTTAGAAGCCAATTGCACCAGGTGAAAATGAAGAGTATTTTACTTTACGGGGCCTACATATCTGCGTTAAACACAATCCCAGGAGCAGCAAGCACCTGACATATTGGCTGTCATTCGAAACCTAAGGCTGGGTGGAGGCTCCTGCCTCTAATGTCAGCACTTTGGAAAACAAAGGCAGGAGGACTGCTTGAGCCCAGGAGTTCAAGACCAGCGGGTAATACAGACTTTGGCTCCACAAAAAAAAAAAAAAATTAGCTGGGTGTGGTGGCATGTACCTATAGTGCCAGCTACTCAGGAGGTTGAGGTGGGAAGACTGCCTGAGCCCAGGAGTTTAAGGTTGCATTGACTGTGCCACTGCACTTTAGTCTGGGAGACAAAGTGAGATACTGACTCAAAAAAAGAAGGGAACCCTAATGTCAAACGAGTTAAGTAAGTGCTTTATCCTCTGGTTCTTTTTGCCCCCATTTTCCTCTGTTATATCTAACTAATAAGTACACAAAAATAAAAGTAAGCTGGATAAAAACATTTCTGATGAATAGTTCTCTGGGAGGTAAGAAGAAAAACAATTTTTTTTTTATTGGAGTCTCACTCTGTCACCCAGGCCAAAGTTCAGTGGTGTGATCAGGGCTCACTGCGGTCTTGACCTCCTGGGTTCAGGTGATCCCTCCGCTTCAGCCTGTGAGTAGCTAGAACTGAAGATACGTGCCACCACACCTAATTTTTTTTTTTTTTTTTTGTAGAGACAAGGTCTCACTATGCTGCCTAGGCTGGTCGCGAACTCCTGGGCTCTAGTGATCCTCTCACCGTGGCCTACCAAAGTGCTGGGATTACAGGCATGAGCTACCGTGCCTGGCTTGAAAACATTTTTTTAATTGGCAGAAAACCAGGCATCCTTCAAACTTAGAGGTTCATTAAATTAGTTCCATTTCTTTGCAAATAGTAAACAGAAAAGAGATTTCTATACTTAAGTGAATAAATCTTAAAGCCACCATTATCAACAGGAGCATACTGGTGACAGGTCAAAAAAATTCTCCCAGGCATCACAAGTTAACCCACGCCGGTCTCCTAAGAGGAGGCTACCAAAAACCAGTTCACTAAGCTTTGCTCCTTACCTGTTTTCAGAACCAGATATTGGAAGTATGAAACACTTTCTCCAATTCAAAAAGTTACATAGAACACAACAGATAAGATCAGGAAATCCCTGGCTATTAGCACAGGACCGGCAGATAGCACTACGTGTGGCATAGAAGAGCTGGGTATCCTTCTGTTTATCTCTACTTACTGAGAAAATTTACCCACATAGTGAAAAAAACATAAGTTATGTTCAGAAGCATTTCATCAAAACTGCATTTGTGTTTTACCAACCTGACCATGAGGCCAGTCAATTCCACAACCCCTATAGAGAATGATAACATGTGCAGTTCAAGAGCAAATGATGCTGCTCTAACTGTCCAGCAGCAAACTTCCCAAGGGAAAAGCTGGCTAACAAACGTTAGGAACTGATCACATTGTTGGTCCTGAATTCCAATGTATGATTAACAGTGATTTCACTCAGAACAGAGTTGGTCTAGAAAACTGGGAACCAGTTAATAAAGAGTCAAATTCTATTTACTGGGCTTCCTGAATAAAATTTAAGATTAATCCCTGGGTTTCAATGGAAATTTCAATTTCAGAGGAGATAATACCTTATCTGGAAAGAGACTCTCATAAAAAGACTTTCTTAACTATTTAATTCTTGGGTTTGATAGTGATAGTTTGGATAGCAAGGAATACATGTCCTGGAAAAGCCCCAAACAGAAAAAAGGAATAGGAGATCAATGTAATGGGATGTAGAAAAATATTTTACTGGGTATAGAAAACAACTAGCAACGCTGAGAGTGGTGGCTCATGCCTGTAATCCCAGTACTTTGAAAGGTGGAAGCCAGGAGACTGCCTGAGCCCAGGGGTACGAGATCAGCCTGGGCAACTTGGCAAGAACTTGTCTCTACAATAAATCAAAAAAATTACCACGGTGTGGTGGCACTCGCCTATGGTTCCAGCTACTTGGAAGTCTAAGGCGGAAGGATCGCCTCAGCCCAGCAGGTCGAGGTTGTAGCCATGAGTGTGCCACTGCACTCTAGCCTGGGTGACAGTGAAACTCTGACTCAAAAAAAAAAAAAGAAACAATTAGCGTAATCCCCACATAGAAAGATTTCAAGACAAGGCACATTTGTACTGAGTCCATACTGTTTAGGATCATATACATATTACCCATAATTTCCTGGATAGGAAATTAATTGTCCTTTATAGACATTTCTATGGGAAAAATGCAGCCAGGGCTTCAAACAGCAGATTCATATACTTTGAGACCCAACCCATTTGTAAGTTCAGGTTGTTGTGACATTCTAAATGTTCCTTAACAAAAAAGCTGATTTCTTTGTAACTCTGTGATTTCACTCAAACTTGTGGTGTTGTTTCCCCTCATTAAAAAGATCCCACATATGGGCCATTGCTTTGCTAAGTTATGGTCTGACCACGTGGCTCCTTGAGTCAAGGTCATCAGGCTTCCTTGCTGTGTCTCCCTCCCCTACTTTGGGGAGGTGAATCTCCTCTCTCTCTCTCTAATTTACTTTTGAAATAAACTATATTTTCTAATCTAAGAAAAAAAATTCTACATATGGATATATTTTCTTCATTTAAAAAAGAAAAAGTGATTTGCCACTGCATTTCATGTAAATTTAATATCAACATAATAATGTACTTGAAATCTCACTAGGTTCCATCTGGCTCTTATTACTCTCTGGTGTCATTCCTCCCTCTAGAGGCAGAAAATGTGAAGGAATGACCAATCTTAACTAGTAGGTTTTTAATAAGTTTTAAAAAATTATCTTTCTCTTGTGAAAGTGTTACTTTAACTAGAAAAAAATTTAACCAGTGAAACTTTTATGCTAAACAGTAAATTTTCTGTTGTTGTTCAAGCACTCAATTGATCCTATTATAAGGGTCACAGTACAGCCCAGTGAAGATCATATAGCCACTTATAAGGCTAGTTGTGGAGTGTAATATTCACATATGAATAAATTAAGAATTATGGCATCAGTAGGCTAAACCTTATCTGGCAATCTAGAAAGCAAGTCTGAATCACATGAGTAGCAGATATTAGGTTTAATATTAAATTTAATATGAAAAACTTACGAAGCAAAGGGAGAATGCCTTTTTCTTTTTCTTTTTTTTTTTTTTGAGTTGGAGTCTCACTCTGTCACCCAGACTGGAGTGCAGTGGCCGCTCCCGGCCACTGCAGCCTTGCCTGCTGGGCTCCGGCGATCCTTCCGCCTCAGCCTTCCGAGTAGCTGGAATTACAGGGGCGCGCTACCACGACCGGCTAATTTTTTGATTTATTGTAGAGATGAGGTCTCACCAAGTTGCCCAGGCGGGTCTCGAACCCGCGGGCTCAGGCAATCCACTCACCTCAGCCTCCCAAAGGCGCGGGATTACAGGCTGTGCCACTGAGCCCGGCTCCTTTTTCTTATAATTGGTATAACATATACTATTTCGGGAGGTCTAATGTTTAGATATGATGGATCATAAATAGATGATAGGCAGGAAGATCTAATTTCTTCGCCACCTAACTTACAGAATAAGAGCTCAGGCTTGTTAATTTCATTTACTCTTCTTTTAATTCAGACACTCTCAACTCTGGAGCACATTACAATCACTCAGGGAACTTTAAAAATTAACTTATGCTTGGGCCTCCTCCTAGAAAATAAATGAATCCTTCCCAGTGGACCAGGGTATAGGTAGTTTTAAAAAGCTATGTAGCTAAAACTATAAACTCTTAGATAAGACACCAAAACCATAGGAAACACAAAGAAGAACCATAAACTTTATAATAGGATAGCCTTGAGTTGGAAGACAGATCAAGGTGATCTAGAAAGAAAAAGGATCCCGCGCCTTTGGGAGGCTGAGGTGAGTGGATTGCCTGAGCCCGCGGGTTCGAGACCCGCCTGGGCAACTTGGCGAGACCTCATCTCTACAATAAATCAAAAAATTAGCCGGGCATGGTAGCGCACATCTGTAGTTCCAGCCACTTGGAAGGCTGAGGCGGAAGGATTGCCGGAGCCCAGCAGGTCGAGGTTGCAGTGGCCGGGAGCGGCCACTGCACTCCAGTCTGGGTGACAGGGTGAGGTTCCAACTCAAAAAAAAAAAAAAAGAAAGAAGAAGGAAGGGACAAAATATCAGAAAATATAGATATGGGTGACCAATATTCTCATAATAGGTGCCCAGAAAAAGGAAAAAACATGGTGAGGGGAACACAATTGAAGAAATAATGGAGATAAATTCTCCTAAATAAGACCAAAAAAACAAAAAAGCAAACAAACAAAAACCCCAAAACCAAACCCAATAAAACTCAAAATAATAGGGCTGGTTTTGAGAGAGTACCAAATAAGAGAGAAAGGAAAACCTACAACTAGCACCATTATGGTGAAACTCAGAAGGGTAAAAGGTTTTTAACAGTGTGCCTGGCACAAAGCAGATATATAATAAATAAGTGCTTACTGAAAAATCAACAAAAGCATGAAATAAAATATCAAATCTTTATGAGGCAGCCATTATACCAGATACAATTCTACTAGGGGAAAAAATTAACATGATTACATTTTTATGGTAAGAACTCAAAAATAACATTTGAATGTTGGTTAAGTATCCTATACTCCATGACTATAGTTGAAATTATTCCTTGTCAAACTAGGGTCTTACCTGTCTCTATATTTCTGCACAGGCTAACATTTTCAGGAATACCTAAATCCTGTATCCTCAAGGTAGGTTTCAATACAGGCAGATCCTGGCTAGTTTAGCTATGCAGTATTTGAAACACAACACATTTAATCGTCATTTCACTACATCTTAGTCAAAGCCTAGCGTGCTCTGTTTGTGCCTATGTATGCCAGGAAATGAGGATATAACAGACATGGATCTAACTGCCAGGTATTTCCAGTTTTCTAAGAATAGTTAACAAGCTTTGGACTTCTCACAAACACATTGGCTGGTGAGAAAATGTACCCTGTATCCTTTTCTGTCCATTCTTTGTAGCATTTAGGCTCATGAAAATTCTTCAGTAATGGCTTACCTGGTCAACATCAGCATTTCTTGGAAGAAAATAAACAATATTATTAGTGATTTTCTGGGAAAGTCTGAAAATTTCAAAGGTGGAGAACAGTTAAGGAAAAATAAAAACAGCAACTGATTTCTGATCACAAAGAGATGTTCTTTACTTATGAAACCCAAATGTATTTCCATATGTGACAAAGGGCACAAACTTAAATTCTCTAAAGGAACTTAACAGAGAATTAAATATAAGATTTTATAATTGAGCAACATACCGTCTCTGATAGATCAAAGATTAGAATTAAGCCTATGTAGTCAAATATACTAGTGGTAGGCAGCCAAGAGTCAGAAACACGTATTTTCTCTTTCTGCTATTTCCTAATTATTGAGAAAATAGAATCAGAAATAAGAAAGCACAATACCACTTATTTCAAGTAAGAAATAAGGACAACTGAAGTTAGTCATTGTAGTCTACCTTCTACGTTTCTTTTTTTTTGAGTTGGAGTCTCACTCTGTCGCCCAGACTGTAGTGCAGTGGCACACTCCCAGCCACCACAGCCTTGACCTGCTGGGCTCCGGCGATCCTTCCGCCTCAGCCTTCCGAGTAGCCGGAACTACAGGCGCGCGCTACCACGCCTGGCTAATTTTTGATTTATTGTAGAGATGAGGTCTCCCCAAGTTGCCCGGGTAGGTCTCGAACCCTCAGGTTCAGGCAATCCACTCGCTTCGGCCTCCCAAAGTGCTGGGATTACAGGCTGAGCCACCGAGCCTGGCCTACCTTCTACATTTAATTTTTTTTTTTTTGAGTTGGAGTCTTACTCTGTTGCCCGGACTGAAGTGCAGTGACCGCTCCTGGCCACCACAGCCTCGACCTGCTGGGCTCCGGCGATCCTTCCACCTCAGCCTTCCAAGTAGCTGGAACTACAGGCGCGCGCTACCACACCCGGCTAATTTTTGATTTATTGTAGAGATGAGGTCTCGCCAAGTTGTCCAGGCAGGTCTCGAACCTGTGGGCTCAGGCAATCTACTCACCTCAGCCTTCCAAAGGCATGGGATTACAGGCCGAGCCACCGAGCCTGGCTACCTTCTACATTTTAATTAGCAATTTAGAAACACATTTCTTGTTCAGAGTCAAACAGATGATTCCTCCAGGGAGTGGCAGGTAAAGAAAGAGACAAATAATAAATGTTATTCTTTATGAAATAAAGATTTGCTTCAGAGTAGTGGGAAAAATTTCAAGTTACACAGTGAAGTAGCACAAATCAATGTGAACTGAAGAAGGTTATGGAAATGGTCATCCACAGACTCAAGGGACAGACAATAACTCCAAGCAATTTATACATTCTGGTTCTTGTTTTATAGTGGGAAAATTGGATGGCAACCAAGGGAAACACGACCTCACCTTTGTCATTACTTTTGGAGATCAAACCCCACATAATTTTTACTACCTACTTTTAATGTGAAATAATCTAGAATCTATCAAATGCTATTAGCTAATACTTCCCTTCTTCATTAATTTTCCGCTTTCTCTCTCATACACACACAGACACTCATTCCTCTCTACGGTCTGAGTAAACGCTTAAAGGATATCCATCAGGAGACATCATTGTCTTAATGTCAAAAGTCTTTGCAGTGGCATAATCTGGCCCCCCCCATGGAGGGCTGAGGAACACGACATCAGCCTTTAAACAAGAAGCCAGCAGCAGGAAGTCTCCACAGATAAACTCTATTTTATCCGCTATTCCATAAACTTCTGCATTATTACGAGCAAGATCAATCTTAACAGGATCAATGTCAATGGCAATCACTAAAAATGGAAAAAAGAAAACAAATTAGTCAACTGATACTGATTCTTAGTTATATAGGATAGTACCATCTTTCCAATCATCTGCCATATTCTGTATTAGAACCTTTTTTAAAGACTAGGAGACATCTGGCTGTATATATCAGAGATATAGACTTTCACTAAAGTTTTTAGTTAGAAAGATTCATTTGTGTTTTACAAGAAAATGTGACCAAAAGACTTGACTTTCAAAGCTGTCTCACTCAGTAAGCTTTACCTAAGCAAGTGGCAACAGCTGCCACATCTACTGAGTGCCAAACACATGGTCAGCATTGTGCTGTGCTATGCACAAGCTTCAGCAGCAAACACTTGAAAAGTCACTGTGTATAAAGTCATTATATAATGCTAGGTTTCAAAAAAGAAATTTCCTCAAAATTCAGCAATGCCCAAATGAAAACAAATTTGACAACTTTCATAGACAACCAAAATAAAACACATTTTTATAAGCCCGCACAGTCAAGTTATGAAGAAAAAAATCTGATGATGTTTAGTGAGACATTTTAGGTAGAGAGGACAGACAATATTATGCTTTTACAGAATGGATTTTCACGTAATTTGTTGCAATTTCATAATGAGCAATGCAAACACAAGTTAATTTTAGCTCCCTCATGTTCTGCAGTAAATTACTCAAGTACACTTGTATGTGCACCAGAGTGTTAATGGGAATATTCTATATCTGAAAGGGCTGTGTGGTGCCCTAAACTCATACAATGTGGTTGTCATGGAAATGTCGTTGTTTTTCAGAAAATGCTAGTTTCCAAATTTGTTAACACTTTTGAGAAATAATATACTAAATAACTTAAACAATGAATACAAGCACTAATTACATATTGAAAACCATGCATTTACAATGCTGTATTTCCCTGTTCTAAATAAACTAATGCTCATATGTATAAGCAAAAAGATCCTTTTCAACTGCTCAATCTGCTACATTTATAGTCCAAAGACAGATGGAAGATTGTGCTGACAATACCAAAAATTCAAAAGAAAAAATGACTTTCAACATCAAATCTATTCAGCAGATCTGGTTTTCATCTATATTTCTTTTGGAGGCAGACCATGCTTTTAGGCCTAATAAGAATGTAAGCACTCAATCTATCACATAAATGAAATGCTGGCAAAAGTTCGACATTATATAGAACTGTGCTGTCCAATAGTGGCTGCCACTAGCCATATTTGGATATTAACTTTAAATTGATTAAAATGTAATAATATTGAAAATTTAGGTCCTCAGCCACACTGGCACATTTCAACTCCTTGATAGCTATATGTAGCCACTGGGTACCATATTGGATAGCACGAGTATAGAACATTTCCATCATCATAAAAAGTTCTACCGGGCAGCACTGATGCTGAACTACTGGAATACATAGAATGACGAAAAACAACAGCAGTATGCACAACCTTGCAGATTCCCTAATTCTTCAGTTCAGTATATACATAGCAGCTATATAAATCTGGCACACAGGGATAATCTCCATGATATACAATGCCATTTTCTCGTGTGTGTGTGTGTGTGTGTGTATAGATATATATGCAAATATATCTATATATATGTAGATATATATACACACATGCACAGTTCATGCATAATTGGTTATATACATTATGTGTTATATAAGCACACACACATTATGGTAGAGAATTTAAGACAGCTAAGTGTAATTAAATTATATGTGTGTGTACATATGTACATGCAGACACAAAATCAATATACTTTGTTCTGAATTCCCTGCCATAAAATAGTCAGCTCAGCCAGAAAGATTTTAGTCTTTCTGGGAGATACTAGGAAGAGTAACAATAATTAACATTCATTGAGCTCCTCTGAGCTAATTTCTGGCTACGGGACATCACTACACTGAACATGCTGGAGGGTTACTGAGCTTTTGCATGCTGCAAGGGCAAAAGTCAGGTTGTGATGGCACTGGGAGAGCACTGTGTTCGTCATCTGCCTCCACTTCTCCCCAGAAGCTAGCAATCTGTAAGAGTGAGTAATTAAAAGACACTACAGGGCTGTGATTGGAAGTTGGTCTGTGAGAACACGGAAGAAGTAATCTCTCTTTGGCATGGCACCCACATCAGACATCTTCTTTTACTAAGTGTGTCTAAGCCATTTTCTCATATGTGTGTGAGAGAGAAATGGAAAAAGATCTATAATTGTAGAAATACAAATCTACAATATAGACTGCTTTCATATTTTGAGAAAATCTCCTGATCTATTTGTTATCTTATCAAGAACCATAGTTTTATTTATTTTTAGTTTTTTTATAATCAATATTTTTTATTTTGATATTGTGGGGTACAGTTAAGGGTTAGGTATACACACATGCTTCACTCAGGCACCCTTGTTGATAAGAGGTATCTCCCTGTAAGAACCATAGTTTTAATTGTCATGTTATGATATGATACCAAAATAAAGATAAATTTTACAACTTGTGAGAAAAAAATCATTTTTAGGCAATAAACATTAATTTTAGCGCATAGGAATGGCTTATCTGGCAAAATCTGAGAAGAACTGTGAGAGTAAATAGTGAATTCAAGGAAAACAAGAAAATATTTACCATTCTGGTAAGCAAGTAGAGTTTTATCCAGGCTGTTAGGAGACTATACAAAGTTAGCAAATGGCATGCCCTGGAGCACAGGAATAACTGAACAGGGGCCACAGCTCATCAGCACTGGTCTTAAAATCAGTGCTATGATAAGATGATAATCTTTTGAGCCATTAATTGACTAAAGGCTGTTTTTCTGACTAGACTGAGCAGGGACTGGGTCTGTTCTTATTGTATGGCAACACACTGTAGGTGCTCATGAAAATTTGTCTTACAATCAAGTATAAGCTACATATATTGACCTTACGGTTACATTCTGATGAATTGTGGCAAACGTGAATGCTTATGAAGCCAACACTCTGATCAAGATCTACAGTAGCCCGATCCCCTGAAATATAACGTGAGCTACATGGATGACTAAAATCTTACTGGCAGCCTTATCAAAAAAGTAAAAAGAAACACATAAAATTGACTTAATAATAATATATTTACTTAACCAAATATGTCCAAAATATTAAAATTTCAATATGTAATCATTATAAAATATTTTACATACTAATCCTAAGTTTTTGAGAACCAGGGTGTATTTTATACTTATAGAACATTTCAGTTTAGACTAGCCATATATACATTTTTTTGAGTTGAAGTCTCACTCCTTTGCCCAGGCTGGAGTGCAGTGGCACGCATGCTCACGGTCACTCGTGCTAACCTTCTGGGTTCCAGTGACCCTTCTGCCTCAGCCTTATGAGTAGCTGGAACTACAGATGTACACTACCACGCCCAGTAGACTAGCCATAATTTAAGTGTTGAATAGCCACATGTGGCTGGCTAGCAGCTACTGTGTTAGACAATATAAAATCAGAATATTTCATCTTTCCAGAAAATTCCCACATTTTGCATGTCCCTTGTGTCAGTGCCATTGTTTCTAGACGCAACCGCTGTTCTGATTTCTACCATCATAGATTACTTTGTCTGTTCTAGAGCTTCATAAAAAAGAACCAACACAGTCCAAAAAAATGTTAAATTTCACTTCATTTTCTAGCTTCTATATTACGCTTTCTAGAATCATATTATGCTTTTCTAGTTGACAAAAACTGCTGAAATAAAAACTGTCATTGATATAATATGAAGCTATTGAAAAAATATCTACATCTACAGAGTATCACTTGACAACGAACGTCTTTAAATTATCCCATTATACCATATTTTAAAAATAACTTAAGAAAGATGGGGATATCAGTGTCAGAAAAAGCTGGGTAAAAACCCTGCTTCACAACTCAGCTATGTCAGTTTGGGCAGAATGTTCAGTATATCTTGAAGCCCCCTTTTTCCTGGGGAAAAGCACATTACCTGATTGACAAAAGTACTGGCAGATGCATACTGTGTATTACTTTTGACTCTTCAAAAAATTAACTACTAATAGCCTACTTTGACCTGAAGCCTTACTAATAAAATAAACTTGACTGCACATATCTTGTAGAAGTATTATATATGTATTCTTAAAGTAAGCTAGAGAAAAAAATGTTAAATTAAGTAAATCATAAGAAAGAGAAAATACATTTACAGTACTATATCATATTAATTCCCTAAATTTACATCGTCTGTTTACAAGAAGAATTACCTAGCCGGGCTTGGTGGCTCAGCCTATAATCCCGTGCCTTTGGGAGGCTGAGGTGAGTG